ACACTGTCGAATGCTTTTCTGTAGTCTATATATGCCATGTGTATGTTTCTGTGTTGTTTGTGTGCTTGCCGTAGAATGACCGAATCTATGAGTAACTGTTCTTTGCATCCCCTGTGATTTCTACGGCAACCTTTTTGTTGTTCTGTAAGAATGTCGTGTTCTTCAACGTGTTTGTATATTTTGTTTGTGATACAGGATGTCAATAATTTGTAGTGTGTTGGAAGACATGTAATTGGTCTGTATTGTGTGGGGTCTGTGGTTTTGTTGTTTTTAGGTTTCATGTAGGTAATGCCCCGAGTAAGAAATTTTCATTATTATTATTATTATTATCATAAGCTCAGAAACTAGAAAATCAGTACTTTATCAAACTACTGTACTAACAATTCTGGAAGGCAGATTAATTTGCAATTATTGAATATACTATAATATTAAAATTACAACACATTATTAATTAACAACAATAGCAAAATCATATTACAATAAACAATTATTAAAATTTGTATAGTAGAAAAAGAAACTAATCAATATACCATATATCACAAGGCCATCTTTACTCTCCTTATGATGTATCCTTAAATGATTCATCAAATGTTCTGGTAGCTTAAAATATTCATGATCAGGATTCAGTGGTGGATAAATTTGAACACTGCAAGAATCTAATTTATGATCAGCTGACATGGCTTGTTCAGAACTATGATGAAATATTTCATCTTCATGATCTTGGCTAATTAAAATAGATACTGAAGCAAATAATTCTATTCCTTGTTTAAAAGCTTCATATTCACGTGCAAGATTTGGTGTTCCATTTATAGTAATACTGGGAAGTTCAGGTTGTAATACCATTATGTATGATTCAGACTGTGGTATTTTTAGAGATTTACCATTTTTACAGCTAAAATAAATATAAAAAACAATAATTTTTGTATCAGTAAACTTTGAAAATGCTTAAATATCTTCAAAATTGAATTTATTTCTATTAATTTGAAATTAATAATATAAAAATTTGATTATATTTATTTTTTACTTTTATTTTTTATTATATAAATATATTACTTTGTTCAGTTTATTTGAAATTTTGATAGCACAAAACAAGATAAGTAATATAAGGATTAATTAATTAATACTAATTGTATGTGTGCAGATAAAATCACATATACATAAAATAATGAATACAGAAAGTTTTTATTTGGGAAATTCCAAAAATAATTATATACTTTTATAACACTTTTATGAAATTGTTTTTAGCATTAATAATATTTAAATAATATACAAAATATAATATTAAAACATCATTCTAATGTCTTTGTTTTGATAGAGACAGATTTAACTATAAACAAATATATTTATAACAAATTTCAAATGCCATCTACTAAAATACTATTCATTAATATACACTGTCTAAAATTAGTTATCATCATCACTTAATAAATTTCCATTGTGTAGATTATAAATTAAAGTGCACACATATCTTTCTAATTCTATAAGTTTGAAATTACCACAAAAACTAAATTTTTATTATTAATAAATAAAAATTTTCATATAATTTAAGTAGAATGTAATACTTACGATATAGAAGTTGAGACGTGAAGACTACGTCTACCAGGAGTAGGAAATTCTCGAGAATTGACATAACCAATTTGGGCCATCAAGTCTTCTAAATTTGATTTTTTATTTCCTTCAATAATAACTTCTGTAAGTTCTGAATTGCTCAACAACTCCTAAAACAAAACAATTTTCCATTTAAAAAAAAACCTTTATAAAATAACTCAGTATACAACTTTATTCATCAACTTGTATAAGAAAACTTTAAAATGTAATTATATTCACCATTCCTGGTTCTAACATATTTGAAGGAGGAACTTCTAAACCTTCTTTACATCTATGTAAGCATGATAATACTTCTGGACTTTCCGTGTGACCACGCAACACTGATAATCCAGCAAGATATCCACGAAAATGAAACAGCATCTTATTTTCTTTACCTAAGGAGAATATAAAACCAATGTAATTTAATTTATAACAAAATATTTCATTTTAAAAATAAAATTTTTATTTCTTTGGAATTCCATTTAACCAAGAACAGAACTTTTCAGATGAACCATTAACAATTAAAAGAACCATTTTAACTAAGACCACTGACTACTTCTACATCATTATTTTTGTATGGGCTTGTTCAGAAAATTATAAGCAGAGTATCCACAAGTTACTTTGCTGTGTGATTTGAATGCTTTCAACGTTGCATGCATGACCTCAATAAATTGAGCATCAAAACCTTGTGATTAAGTGGAAATTAGATGCTTGAGCTAAATAAACCTTTTTACAAGGCAAATCACATGCAGACAATCAACAACTAGTAAACTCCATAAGATGCATTTGATAAAAAAATGGCCAGGACATAAGTTACACTTACAAAATTTAAGAAAATTCTTAATATAGACAATACATAAAAGTGTCTTCTAACTTTGACCTTTTGCAAGCACATAGGAAATTAACAGTTCCACGACAGAGTCGACCTTTTCTTAGAGGCAACTCGTCTGCCTCAATATGTTAAACTTGTAAAATCTTCCCTCTGGCGATGGCACAATTAAAAAATAACAAATATATTTGATAAAAATGTATTTATTACTTTTTTAAAATCATCCATCAAATTGTTTATGTCTGGTTTATGTCATTTTCTACAAAATGGATCAGTGAATGGACACATTAAATGAGAAAATAATAGAATAATGTTTCATTTTCTTTTTTTCTACAAGAACAGGTATGTTGCCAGTGATGGCTCCGGAAATATGCAAAGGAAGTGCTAAATTTCAGAAATTGTAAATATTGGAATAATTAGAAGTACTTTTTTTTTATTAGCATGTGCAAAGGCAATCATATTGCAGACAATCTGATAAACCAAATTTGCTGTTATATATGTTTTAAAAACAACGTTTTAAAGTTCAAACAACTTTAACTTTTTATTTTTTGGGCAATAGAAGGGTTTAAACCTCTCTAGCATGTCCTTTGTATTCACCACCATGTCAGATGATGTAATCATCTTAATGTGTTTTATTTATTCTTCTTTTTTCTTTGCCAGATAACACGAGCAGAAGTCACATGATTATTATGTTGGCTTGGCACAGCAAAATTACTCACGTGGATATCCAGCTTAAGAGGCAAGTTCAACTCCCAATTTTGGAATTCTTACATTTTGACAAAAATTAAGACATAAATATAAGTTGATCTTTTAAACAAATTTTTTTGATTGCTTGATTAGTAGAGGCTCCCAGAAATAAAATAAAAATATTTTGATAAGTTATAAAATGTCCACCAAACACAAATTCCTGCTCTGAAAATGTATATTTAATACAAAACTAATGTCTTTGATTGTCATAAGCAATCATCATCAGGTTACAGATATATTCTAAGTAAGAACATTTATTTGGAACAGACAAATTTAAAAGGTCAAGACACTATCTAATTGATTAAAAATTAAAAAGTGACTTCAAATAATGATGCCCATGCTTCTGGAAATGCATTATTTTCCTTAAAATTGATTTATGTTCTCTCCCTATAAGCCTGTAAATTTCAAATTTCTCTAGATGTTTGAGTTGGTTTAATTGGCTCATGTGATGTAAAAGTTTGGCTCAGCTGAGATGCACTTGAACTTGTTGATCCATTGCAAATACAGCCAGTACTGTAGTATTGTGACCTTTTTCAATGATAACTGCTCCTTTAAATATTGGTTGAGTGGGCAGGTCATGGACCCAATCTACTGCAAATCCTGGACACCCCTGTGGTCTAACTGTAATAGTGTATACTCCTGGGAGTTGCAGCTCACTTAGAGGATCTTTATAATTCCTAATCAAATGGTATATTAGGTAGCACCTGAAGGCAATAGAGATGTTATTGACTCTTGCTATTTCTTTGTAAGTTTGTTTGAGTTGTTCAATATACCCTGCTGGATTAAATATACCATCGGTTTTTACTATAAATTTTTGATAAGTTATCAAAATCAGTTGTTTTTACCATATTCAACAGAATCTAACAGCTTAGTTTTGCGAATGGTTCAAAAAACATCAATAAATTAATTATTTACAATTGTGCCAAAAACTTAATTCCCAGACAGTTTATTGGCTGCAGCAAAACAGGTCACAAGTTGGTTGATGTTAAGTATCACTAAACAATTGATATACCAAAAATTTTAGTGTCAGCTTAACTCTGAAAAATATATAATATAGACAGTTATTGAAATCAAGGAAAACTTTATCAGACTCAAATATAAAATGAAGCTTGAACATTGATAAAAAGCAATTTTTTTCTTCTTTAAAACTGAAAGAAACATCAACTAATATTCAAGCCAATATAATATAATATAAACATTGTTCAAAATTAACAAATCATTAAAATTAATAGAGAGCTCTTGATAAGACATTTTTAGTTCAGTTATTTAAATTCTCTTCATAACAGAAGAAATCAATTCCAAATTACTTATTGAATGAAGTAATTGAAAAACTTGTTAAGTGACTTTATACATTTCTTGATGCCTGATCTAAAATTTATTCTTAACATTAATAATTTACTAATAGTGAATNTGGAAAAAAACACAATATTTTTATAATAAATAAATATTTTATTGAATTATATATCGACCATTTTGGTCAAATACCTATTGTCATCATTTCTGGTAGTAGCATGATTTCACATTCATAAAAGTTTTGATCGTTGCTTACGAAAAACTGATCCAAGCAATTTTTGACATTGCCATTTCAAGTAACTGTCTTACAGTTAAAAAAAATTTGTATAGACCAGAACAAGTAATAATCTGAGTGTGCTCGATCTGGTGAATATGGTTGGCGCGATAGCACTTCTTATCTAAGTTATAACAGTTTCTGACGAGTTACCAAACTTGTGTGAAATTTGACATTATCGTGGTAAAACACTACACCTGTTTTGTTGATCAATTCTGGCCACCTTTTCTGTTTGATGATATTACTCAATTTGTTTACTCGATGGCAGTACACTTTCGAATTAATTGTTAAATTGTCTGGTAAAAGCTCCAAAAAAAATTTCCTTAAAATCCCACCAAACAGAGCATCTCTCTTTAAGAACATGTGGAACCCATATATCGAGCTTTGAAACAAAACAAATTTGTTTCAAGTAATCATAAACAGTTTAATTTGACAAATTTAATCTCTTAGTGATTTCACGTGTTGTTATTTGACAGTTTGCTTCAATCAGTACCTTTATTTTGTTTTCATTGGCTTCAACTGCCATCCAGAATGTGGTGCATCTACAATATTGAAATTGCCAGAACGAAATTTTGTAAACCAGTTTTGACACTGTCGTTCTGTCAATACATCTTCTCCATACTTGTCTCTCAATTTTTTTCTCGCTTGAACAGCATTCTTATCTTTTTGGTAATAAAAGAGCAAAATATGCCGAAAATGCTGCTTTTGATCTTCCATATTTGATGGGACACAAAAAATAAACAATTGCACAAAATCAAACAAAATTTTTTTACAAATAAACCTTAAAATGCTAGCTGTCAAATTATATAATGATAATACGATTTAGAATGAAAATGGCGGGAAAATTACAACTAATCCATCTAGTGGTAAAAAAAAACGAAATTACTTTCCAAACAACCTAATAGTTTGGATTATCATTGTTCTATTATATAATGCATTCAATTTTGTCAATAAAAATATTAAAAACATAAATTATTGAAAAATATAATTTATGTTATCAGATCAATAACTAATATAATCAAAAATAAATGAACCGTGTTACTAAAACACAAATTAAATATTCATTATAACCATAAGCTATAAATAATTAAATTGATTATATTTACTTATTATTGTATTGCTTATATCTTAATCATTACCCCACTGTAACAAGGATTCCTTAATATGAGTAAAGAATTTATTATTATTATTATGTTGGGTTTTGTGAGTTATACTCGGTTCACACTGGTGGCTTTGTACTATGCCGGACCAAAGTCAAGGCATAGCAACCAAAACAAAACTAAAATTAAATAAGTGTGTCAGTGTGTGTGTCTGTATTCAGGAATTTTCTAACAATGTGGCATGTATTCAATATAGTGGCCTTCTGTAGTGTGATGTATGTATTTCTACTCAATTGTAATGTTCCCAGGCTTTTATGTAGTGTGTGTGGTATCACACCTGTACAGGAGAGAACAANCAATTCCAAGTAAATGCCGTCCATTGTTTAATGATTATGTTATGTTAGTCAAGACTCGTCTACAAGATTTAAAGGTACTGTATTACAATTCTCTTTACCTGTTTGTTTTAAATTGGTTACTTCTCTTTGACAGTGTGTTAACAAAAAACTAATTTTATAATTATTATTGTAATATTATGAATAATACTGTTTCATAAATCAAAACTAGAAATTATGAATGAAAATAAATACAAGGTGTGTCTGAAAAGTTTGGTTAATGATCTCATTAAATAAAGGAAACAAGAGATACAAACAAAATACCTTTACTGGCATTCAAAGTAATCGCCATTAGCAACAACACACATTTGACATCAGTTGTACAGCAGCTGGAAGCTGTGAGCAAACACTTCTTTCAGTATCGCACAAAGCACCATTGTCACACGTTGTTGGATCTGTGCAATGTTAGAAAAGCGTAGGCCTTTTAGGACTCCTTTGAGATGGGGAAACAAAAAGAAATCTGCAGGTGCCAGATCTGGAGAATATGGAGAGTGTTGAAGAACTGTCATCTGGCGTGTAGCAAGGAAGTGCCGTACGCAGCTTGCAGTGTGCAGACGGGCGTTGTCGTGGAGAAGAGTCCACTGTCTACTCTGGTACAGCTGTGGCCGAAGTCACCTGATGCATTTCTGCAGCAGTTTCAAAACTCCCTCATAGAATTCTGCATTAATGATTGTATCGTCGGGTAAAAATTCATGATGGATCAAGCCCTTACTGTCAGGAAAGGCAACCAACATCGTCTTAATCCTGGATTTGGTGAGACAACATTTTTTGGGAGGAGGATGACCA